ATCCTGGATGCTGGCGTGAAAACGTAGAAAATGTAAATCAAGGAAATGGAATTCCTGAAAAGGAGCCAGCGACAGAATGAAAAAGCTAAAAGAAAATAAACAAATCTTTACCTCTATCTCTTCCTTATATTTCAACAATGGTGCCTCTAATATATTCCTCAAGGTAAAGGCTTCACTTTCAATATCAAATACATGAGATGTCAAGTCTGACATTCTCTGCCAATGCCGATTCTTCATGGCTTTATTAGCCATTAATTCTAACAATGGTACCATTTCATTAAAATCATCAATGGTCTTTTTCAAATCATCAAAAGCTGGCCAGTCTTTTAAAGCTTTTGGTAGTTTTCGGCACCTGAAATTTAGTCAACAACTTAAGTCATTGCACGCCTTATTGTTGCCATTTCGGGGGTTGACATCCGCAGCAAAATAATCTGCTACGTCGGTAGAAACATTTATGTATTGCTGTTTTTTTCAATTTGAAATTTTCACATAGTCCGATGACCTTGAATAAGTCATCTTCACTCATTATCCCAGTCGACCCAGCTGTAAATGGGTATGGATGATCCAGGAAAGATCAATGTCGAGAGGTTTGACTAAGGACCAGCTGGCACAAAGGATTCTTAACTGTGAACCTAAGTTGTTACCCTTGTAAAATATAGTTGTTTCTTTCTTTTACCTTGAAAACAAGAAAACAAAAACATGACAATACCTGGTTTGGAAATCCTGTAGTTCTTGAGTGATCTTCTCAATGTTGACTTCCTGCCATAGAATATCATAATAACCATGTACTGTATCAATAACATCATTATATAAACCATATAATTTCTGTAGTAGATTTAACTCCTTTCTGATAGTATGGAGTTGAGGGTACTCAGTAACTGGTAGACCGAATAATTCTTCACCCCCAGTATATGTCTGGTATTTACGATATAATGTATCAAACTGATTTTGAAATACTATCAATCTATCTGAGGCTTCTCTTGGTTCCACGCCTGGCACCATTGGTCCATTCTACAAAACAGAACATTACAAGACTCAAAACAGAATTCTACCATTGCAAAGAAATCAACATATCACATCACTTTATTTTATCATAAGCTTGCTATGGCTTATGTTTTTACTTTTACTTATTTTTCAAAAAAAATTGTATTTTAAAATACTAAATTGTCACAAGTGTAAAATACTATTCAGTGTAAAATACTATCCAATTTCAAATACTGTCCAATGTAAAATACTATCCAATTTCAAATACTGTCCAATTTAAAATACTATCCAATTTCAAATACTGTCCAATGTAAAATACTATCCAATTTCAAATTCTGTCCAATTTAAAATACTATCCAATTTCAAATACTGTCCAATGTAAAATACTATCCAATTTCAAATACTGTCCAATGTAAAATACTATCCAATTTCAAATTCTGTCCAATTTAATATACTATCCAATTTCAAATACTGTCCAATGTAAAATACTATCCAATTTCAAATACTGTCCAATGTAAAATACTATCCAATTTCAAATACTGTCCAATGTAAAATACTATCCAATGTGAGATACTGTTAAATGTGAGATACTGTTAAACCGTCCAATGTAAAATACTGTCTAATTTAAAATGCTGTCCAAAGAAGGCTACTATCCAAAAAAGATAAACTATCCAATGATAAGGCCTTTTTCTACAAATTAATGAATACTACTTTGGTTATAGCAAAGTTTTGGGCTCAAAAAGTCAGTGACAAAACTGATTAGTGAAATTATTTTTACCTTGTCATAATCATCATAGAAATTATCACAATCTTCAATAAATATTTTTACATTCTCTATCAGGTTACCACGGAAATTAGGTTGTATTTCTAATAGATGAGATTGTACAGTTGAAGCCTGGGCATTCAGTTTCTCCCAGGAATATCTCATAGTGTCACATTTCTCAGCATCTTCTTTAACCACTGGTAAATCATGTTTATTCATTAATGCATAGGATTCCTGAAATAGTCAAAATAGTAATGTTTAAGACTTCTTTTTCCAGTCTACATGGGTAAATTGGGTGACTCAGATGCTTGCTTGCTAACCTTGAGACCAGTTTAAAGCATAAGCTTACTTAAGATTTTTAAGGTTTCCCACAGTCAAAGATGAACTTTGGTGGAGCTGATATGGAACAAAAAAATTCCCTGTGTGCTATGACTCAGTTGTCTTATTTTCAGAATGTCAAAGATTTAAAGATGTATTAGTTGTAAAATGATGATGAACTTACTTCAATCGGAGCAAGGCTCATATCAATTCTTATTTCATTTTCACGAATTTCTTTCAGAGCTTGCATAGAGAATCTGATATCATCTAAATCTTTAATAGGTCTATTTAGACGTTTGGTCATATCTTCAATAAAGTTGAATATCTCTTCCATTTCATTCTGGTATTTATTATCACAAGCTTTACCATAGTGTAATCTCCATGCTCTAGTTTCTGTTGTTAATCCTAGTTTTAACTTTTCTGTAAAATATACCAATTGGAATACAGAGATGGAATAGTACCTAATCGTAGATGAATTTCGGTGGAATAAGCTCTGCATTACATAAGTTTTCTTATTGACAGAGTTGACAGAGCTGAGTGTTTTAACCAGGCATATCATTAAACACCTTACATCACACAAAAGAAGAAGTGATAAATAATGATGGAAACCAAGGAGTCAGAGATCGTTTCTATATCAGTCAAAAGCAACACTACTCAATAGTTCTTAAATTCAGTTCAACCATGATCACTTCTGCAGGATACCTGATATCTATCTGCAACTGAGTTTGTCAATTTGACATCAAGTTTACAATTACCACATAGTTAATAATATGTTTTTTTTATCATTTCTTTGTTAGAGGTGCTCAAACTCAACACTCTCTAATTTAGGAGGTGAGAATGTTACACCTACCTGTATAAAGAGCAATGGCACCAACATCATAATATTCAGGTTCACTCATGATCTGTTTCTCTAGTTCATTATAATGGTGTATCTTAGCTTCAAATTCTGATAATTTAGGATCATCTTTCATAAACTCTTCCAATTCATCATCTCTATCTTTAGCCCAGATAGAATGGTAGTGAGAAAACTTCTCTAAAGCTGTTGTTATTTCCTGTAATATGAAAAACAGTAGTTATGGTTTAGCATGTGTAGGATTAACTGAGATAAAGGCACGCCTCATTCACAAAAAATCAACTCGAAATCATCTTAACATTTGTCAAATCACTAAAATTGATTTTATACTTAGTTTTATTAACCAATTACTCAAATACTTTATATAATATGGATTTTATCTTTGTTAGAATTTCAAGGTTAAGACCCCACATTTTTACAGCCAAGATTTGGGTATACATTATCTAGTCTTTGTGAATATAACATTATTTAGCATAGGGTACAAACCACAGTTGGAACACTATGATAGAAAATTCAAAAAACATTATGGCTGCTCACCTTCTTGGTTGAGTTGATAGATGTTGACAGTAAAGAAGCTAATTTAGCAATCTCCTTATTATCAGACACACTCTTAAAATAATTCTTATTCTGTTGTTGTATGGTTAGACTTGTAGCTGTTGCTTCTCCTTCTAGCCTCTTAGATCCCTCAGACATCATACTAATAGCACTAGCTCTTCTTTCAAAAGAGTATTCGCCTACTCCAGACATTGAGGCATCCAACAATTGTGGCTTGGCTCTTCTTTTTCTTTCCTTGCTCCATTGGGAGACTCCCTTACTGACACTGATGATGGTTTGAACTGTTTTATTCAAAGCTTGTTGGACTTCATCTAAAGCTGGCTGCATGACTATATTAGGTATAGCTAATACAGCACTGGTTCTAAAGAATGGTCGGCTGTCCTTTTTACTATCTCCATATGAGGTATCTCCTACAAAGACCAAGAATAGAAAATCATTATTCATAATGGAGTCTGTTAAAATCAAATAAACAATCCAATACTGATCTTTACTATGAACTCTATATATAAATCCGCAAAACATCACAAGTTACTGGAAACTTTCAATAAAAAGCAATAAGTAAAAACGTACCCATTCCAATGTAGTGAGCCATAGAGCTGGATGTAATACGTTTACGTAGAGACTCCAGAGTATATCTTGTGGCACGTAATAAAGCATCAAGATTTCTGTTATTGAAGTGTATCAGTAATTCCATGGCAGATTCTTCCAGGTTCTCTCTCATTTCACGTTTCTTCTTGGCTACACTCAAAGCTTTAGATGATAATGGTCGAGCTGAT